TGACCACGCTTTTTACAATAGGAACACGGTTCGGATTTTAATGAAATTATAGCTGGCTCAGAACTCACACTATTCTCACTTGAACTAGGTTTCGATTCTACTTTAGTTTTCTTATTGCAATTAGCCTGTCTATGACCGCTTAAACCGCATGTGAAACACTTGCCATCATCTAATCTACGTTTTCTCCAATTAGCGTTTAAATTATTTCTTTTTTATTATGAAAAATTTTTGAAGTGGACGGACAGACATTACTTATATTTGATTTGGACACATTAGTTTTTACATAAATCGAAAAAAAATCAACTAGGTCGGTAGGAAGCAATTTTGCATTCGTAGCGGATGCTCGAATATGTGGGTCAGTAATTCCACAGATAATTATCGCAGTAGTTAGTTCGTCGCTAAGTCCGCGTACTACCCGCAATCGAAGCAAAGAACGTCGAGCATAGTCAGCATATGTGGGATATTTATCAGAATTAGTTTGCATAACATCAAATAAGGATATTTGCAATGTCGAGTGTTTTTGGGCACAAAGGTTTAAACTCCACGTACGCTCACTCGTTACCCACTCACCCAACCACGTTTGAGCATCACCCTTCAGACAGTTTCCTATGCGCGACAAACATTCGTAATCATTCCAATTATTTAAACACTTTGCACGTTCTACTTCCTCGCACCAATCATCAATATTATGCAATTTGGGATCAAAATTAGAAATATAAAAATGTTGGTTTGATCTTACCGAGTTGATTGAGCGAATTGCATCCACAATTCTGTCGGTTACCGTCACGGGGATACCGATGTCGCTGGTACCAGACTCTGGTACAAACACAGGGCGATTCGCGCGTGTCTCCACACGCGCCGCAGTTGGAGGCAGCGTCGGCGTCGTCGAACGCTGCTGGCCATGCGCCGGCGTCGTTCCACGGCGACGCGTACGAGGCTGGCGCCGCGCCGCGTAGACGGCGGAGTCTGGCGCCGCGGTGTCGGCGAGCCCGGCGACGCGCACCTGGCGGTACTTCTAATCGGTGGCGTGCGAATTCCCGACGGCCTTCTCGTCTCAACTTGAACCTGTTTTTCTAAAACCAAAAGTCGAGCCCGCATCGCCTCCATCTCCCGTTTCAGCCTACCCTCCGAACTACGTTCTCTGTAGTTATCAAGGCGCCTATGGCGGCTTCGACTACGACGATACTCATGGTCCGACATTTTTGCTTTTGACGTATTAAGAAACAAATATGATCAAAGAAAACGGATAGGATAAGTAGATCCTATCCCACTTCTGATTTTAGCGATTATTTTAGAAATTATTTAAAAAAAACAAAGATGACCAACAGGAAATTTATATAAAAACTTTAAATGAATTTAACAATTTTATGAAGAAATATTAAATTAAATTGTGAACACAAAAAAAATGTCGGACGAACGAGCAGAGATGTTGCTTCGATAGAGGCGCGCGCAGCAAAAAAAGGGCGAGGCACGCGGCGACCGGCTTTTATACCCTCCATAGGCATAAAAATTTTCGTCTGCTACAATATACATATACTAAATGGAGCTAAAGAAGTTTCTCTTCAGTCGATATATCGACATTAACTGTCAGACAGTTAATGTCGATATATCGCTTTATCATATCCCGTTTCGGTGGTCATGCTAGAGGGGCAGTACTGCTTTATTATAACGTCACTAAGTGATATGAATTAAATCGTTTTAATGAATATGCAATATTTTCTTTTACACACGAACAGGACCATAGCTAGGGGGAGCATTATAGGGTTTATATTTATTAAAACGAAGCGGCAATCTGTTAAGAGCGGCCGGCATGCCCCTACTTGTGTGCCCTACCTGTAATTACAGCTGCCCAATCTTAGGCCCGTATTAATGAGAGCCCCTGAGGGCAAGTTTGAATACGAACTTGAGATGATTTGTATGAATAAATTAATTCAACTCAGGCTATGGGTCCGGCACTGCAAATGCCAAAAAGGTTAGGCATGCCATTCTGGCATTAAATATCAAATAAATTAAAAGTCTCATACTTGCTTGTCTTAAGGATATCTGACAAGTACTATTGTCATCACGAGACTTTTACCCTGATATGGAATTAAAACAAGCTCTTTATAGATGGCAACAATACCAAGACCACTGAATGCACTATACTTACAGTTTAGCTACAAAGACGACTTTTCAAAAATAAAGTAAAACTTGCAATAAAGTTAGAGTCATACATATATTGTTTTTAGATTACATCAATGTAAACTTTAGCAACACATAAATTAAAGTATAATCAAGACTAGATTCTGCATTATGACTAGAGTACACCACAGCATTATAAGAATTAATATTTTTGGAATGTTTTGTGCATTAATCTCCAACCTAACTTACGGATTTCATTTCGGCAAGAGCTTCCTTTACCAATTCCTCTAATTCGAGTGGTAAAACTGTTTTGGTCACACAACTTTGAAAGTCTCCACCATCATCATAACTCCTTTCAACATCTCCATTGGAATCATCTTTGTTTATGATGTCATCTTCACTATCAAATTCATTCTTCAAATTTTCTTTATAACTTCTAGAGTCCTTTTCTTTGGTTTCATCTGATTTGATAGAACCCATATCTGGGAGAAACTCTTCCAATAAAATTTGTGAAGGGAATACTGGTATATATTTTTGACCATTGCACCAGCTTTCTAATGTTTTTTCTAGTTCTGTGATTCTGTTTGCTAGGATTCTGAAAGGTACAATAATAAATTAAAAAAAATGCTAATTGACAAGAAATTGTCTAATTATTGCTGAATACATACTGATTAGTTTTTCTTTGATGCTGCAAAGCTATGGATTTATCATTCAATGCCTCAAACAGACCCAAGCAAACTGATTTTAGTTCTGGTGCAGAGCTCCTTTTAAAGCCAGTTTTTGAGTTTACATCTAAAAACTCCCTCACTGCAAGAATGTTATTTATATTTCAATGTGTGTGGCTTTCAGTCTTGCTAGTCTTTATTGGTTTCAATTAAGCCGATTTGAAATCATGAAAATGATTATTATTATTCGTCGTTTTGAAACACACAGTAAATATTCTTCATAAGGTAAGATAAAAGATATTTCTACCATACAAGAATCCCAATTTGTGATGCCATTTAGGGCGCTTTCAATTTATGCGTTTCTTGACGGCTGCTGCGGTGCCGAAGCGGTGCGTTTGTCATACAGCGAACGGACGATCCTTTTTTTTCATACAAAACGCGCGGTGCGGCAACAGTGCGGCACCGGTACCGCGAACGCTCGGCAACAGGACGTCAAGAAACGCATAAATTTTTAGCGCCCTTAGAGTTTAACACGCCTGACAAGTAATTGAGTGCGACGATTTAAGTAATGTTGCAGAACTATATAAAATCGTGTGGCGCGTAATTATAAAATCCGATTCTTCCTCGTGATTAAACTGAGTAGTCACACAAAATTTTCCTGATAGTCAAATAAGCTAGTTGACTCATGTCAAATTGCACTGTACAAATGTTTATTTCTTAAAATTGTTGGTATGAGGAACCTAAATACATCGATTTCACTTCATAAAATTAGAAGATGGCTGTAGTAATTTAATTTGAAAAATAGTTTTTTAGTCTATGCTTTTAAAACACTAAAAACGCTGTCCAGCATGATTGTGACGTCAACATAATAGCAACCAACTAAACGTCATTGTGTCACTGTGGTTTCTTTCGTCTGACTAAAATATATCTAAAAACTCTTATATCTTGAAGCAAAGTTTCCGTTTATTGGTTTTCTTGACTAAATTAATGCTGGACGCCGGATTTGTGAAAGCAGAAATGACCTAACTCTTTGACTTAGCAGGTACATTCATAACCTTAAAAATTTAAACCACAACATTTCTGGAGTCTTTAACGATGTGTTTCTCTATTCTCGGATAATACAATCATGAAAATTACTATATTTATCATGAAATCTATTAGAAATCATGGTTTTATAATGTAAATTCAGATAGGTTATATCCTACGTGCTTGCGAGTGTTTGTTTACTATTTTTTTCCCGTCATACCATAAATAGTCTATAGACTAAAATGGCCGACAGCGTTTTTGTATGTCCATGAAAAATCTATTTTAAAATTAAAGTTTTGTAGCTTTCTAGGTAAAAAAAAATACAATACATTTTTTTTCGGTCTAACTGAACAATTATTAACCATTTTAAACATATTTCCAAAAAGTGTCAACTAGCCTATTGTCTCTGATGACGGAAAATACAGTCAAGCGTAAATTTCAATTATATTAGGAAACAAAACATAATTTTGAAACGAAATAAGTATTGGTCATTTTCTTGATAAATCACGTTAAAATTAGTTTCCTTATTATTTATTATACCAATTATAAAATGAATCCATTATCCAAATAGTTTCACCATCTGGAAAAAATATTCCTGTTGGACAAACTGTGATCTTTGACTACACAATTTGACCAAGAGGAAGAAACGATAAAATTGTCGTGGCGAAAGTGCAGAATTCCTGGTTAACTGGTTAACATACCCAAAAAACTGATTTATTCAAATGATTTTGAGCCCTACATTGCTTGATATACAATTCATGTAATGTTGCAATACTTCAAGCACGAACAACTAGCGAGAAAGTATTAATATCGCCATGTCAAAGATTCCATAGAAAACTAGTTTGTTCTTACTTACTTCTACTAAGACTTAAGGGCCTCAGAGCTTTGACATAAAATCGGGTGGAGCGCGATTACAAAATCGTCGTAGCAAAAGTACAAACATCCACAGGTCAGCTTACCCAAAACATGACAAATTTATTCAAAATAATGCTTGATATAATATCATTCACAATCAATTGATAAAATTTTCGTGTGTGGTAATGGTAACTTGATGTGTGGCTGTCTGTTCTTAAAGCCGCATCGTGACGGTACTTCCGTAAATTCAAATCTTATCAATATTAGTTAAATAAAATAATAGGTCTTACCTATGAAATTGCCGTTCTGTCGAGCTGGCTATTTCAAGTCCAATTTTTTGTTTTTTGCTAAGCATTCTAAGTTCAAACTATTTTTATTCCATATTGAATTCTTTTTTAAAAATAGTCATTTGTACGTTTTTCGTCATCATGAATACGTTAATAATTCGAGTTATTGTGGAGTATGAGTACCGTCGCGGCAGCAAAGCGGCAGGAGAGGCATGCAACATCAACAACGTACACGGAGCGAATACTAGTAACGATTGCTGAACGATTGCACCACCCGTTACTGGGTTGCCCGCTTCCGTTATGGAAATATCGACCTAAAAATGAACCCTGTGATCGTCCGAAAACTTAAGTCGACAATGGTGTCGATTCTGGCACGATTCTCTAAATCTAAACTTAAGCTTGACAACAGTGTTTCCTTGTCATTCTCTATACAGAATGAAAAAGAGAGACTGATGTTAAATTTGGTTTTAAGTTTAGAGAATCACGCCATAATCGACACCAATGACGTATCAAAAGCGATTGTGGAAACTGATGATTCTCAATCTAGAGCTGAAGTAGCAGCAGCTTTCGATGTTAGGACCAAAACAATAATGGTCCATTTGCGTCATATTACCAAGGTAAAAAAGCTTTACAAATGGGTGCTCGACGAATTGAATGATCGCCAGCGCGAAGTACGCGTACAAACGAAGGCCTATTGAAAACTGACGCTTAAAACAGTGATGGTCACTGTTTAATGGTCTAGCGCCGGTATCATTCGTTACAGCTTCTTACAAAACGGGATGAGCATTACCGCAGATGTGTACTGTGAAGAATTGAACACAATGATGGAGACTCTCGCACATATCCAACCAGCTTTGGTCAATTGTTCGGCTCCACTGCTCCTGCACGACAACGCGCGACATCATACTGTACAGCAGACGGTCTCCCAAGTTAAAAGATCTGGGATTGGAAGTTTTTCGTCATCCACCGTACTCATTAGACCTTGCCCCTACAGACTTCTAGTTCTTCCAGAATTTGGATAATTTCTTAGCGGTTAAGCAATTCAATAACAGAGAGGCAATTCAAAATGCCTTTAAAGAATTTGTTGTCTCCCATCCAGTAGACTTTTTCAAAAAGGGCATCAATACTAGCTACCACTACATTGGCAAAATGCATTGATTGCATTGGTATTTACTTTGACTGATAAAATTAAAAAATATAGCAAAAAAGGGCGTTAACTTATTTCATTAAAAAACGGCAATTTCATAGGTAGTCATAATATGATGACATAAGGTAGAATATTTTTTTTTAAACCTTGTTTTTGAGTCATCACATCCATAAATCCTTTTTTCAAATTCATTGCTTCATTAGAGTTTCTATTATCCAAAAGTGTCTGTAACAAACCAAACAAGATAAGCAGATAGCTGTTACTCCCAACATATCCTGTTAAAAAATATTTATGTTGATAATATTTACAATGCCTAAATTAAACACAGGGAATTTGTTATTTTATAGAAACTAGTTGAGCCCGCGAACTTCGTATCGCCATAAAAATATGTGTGGTAGAAGGGTGAAAATTTAGGGTCGTATGTATTGTTGTATGATGTATCAAAAAAAATGAAAATAAAAAATTCTGCCCTGAAAAGAAATTTCAAGTATGGACCACCCTTAACATTTAGGGGGATGAAAAATAGATGCAGTCCGATTCTCAGACCTACTGAATATGCATATAAAATTTCACGAAAATCGGTCAAGCCGTTTCGGAGGAGTTCAATTAAGCACCCGTGACACGAGAATTTTATACAATAGATACATGTAAATTTGAATTATGTAGTTGTTTTTCTAGAATAGCATAAAAACTCAATTTACCTTGTATTTTGTTAATGTTCTTTTAATAATTTCTTTCTCAACTTGCAGTTGCGTTATCCTCTCATGAAGATATTTGTTTTCTGTAACTAAAGCATCTATGTCAACAATTGGCTTTGGTGGGTCAATCTCTTTGTCTGATTGAAGTTTAATCCTGTTTGTGAGTATGTAACTAATTTGCTGATTTAACCGTTGGACTTTGTTCTTATAATAATCACGATCAGAAATCAACTCTTCTTTTTCATCTAAAGTAGCCCGATAATCCAGTTGGATTTGTTGGTACTGCAATATGAATATTAGAAAAAAGTGCATATTTAATCAAGCAATAAAGAAAAACAAGTACCTAGAAACAAAAGGGGCATACTTACTTTCTTTTGGATTTTTTCTAGTTCTTCTATTGATTCTTCAAAATTTTTATTGGAATAACCTAAAGTAGATTCTCTGGATTCAGGGTTGTTTTCACAAGTAAAGGTTTTTCTTTGCAACTGTTTCCTTAAAGCAACAATATCACCAGTAGCTTCTTCTAGTTTACTTCGCAAAGTTTCTACCTAAAAATGTAAATTACAACATTTAAATACCAATATAAATGGTTATCTATCATTTAATTAAGTTAAAAGTATTAACTGAAAGCTATAGCTTACCTCAAGTTTTAGAGTATTGTTTTGATCTCTTGTTTTGGCAAGCATATCCCCACTGCTGACTGTGTTTGTGGGTGTGAATTTATAGATACTGCTGCTAGTATTTTGATTGAGGATAGTTGGTTTCTTATATTTTAATTGTTCAACCAGAACCTTGTACCTATCTCTTTCCATGCTGCTTTTGTCCAGCTCCTTACTCATAATCAGAAGAGCATCAATCTTACTTTGAAGCTTACTTTTAAGCACTGAATTCTGTTGGTGGAAACATTAATGGTGGTTATTTTCTTAATTTTTTAATCATTTACATGCTAGATATTTAAATCTAAAGACAATTTTACTAGAAAAAATTCCACTCAGACCAGGCAGCAGACAGGACCCGAACCCACACCCATCTGGGAGGATGCACTGAACATTATGCTACTGCGGGTGTAATGGTTGTGTCGAATTCTTTCTAGTATTTCTTAGGCTGCAAGGCAGCACCATGTCTTCACATTGTAGGTAACCCACAATGTCAAACAAATACCTTTACAAATATTAAACTTTTGAATTAAGAAATAGCTAATGTTATTTTATTTTTTAAGCATTTAACTGCTAGATGTATAAATCTAAAGAAAATTTTAAGATTTTTATTTTAATTATTACTAGTGAAGCATCAAATCTGCCAAAATACACCCTGGAATTGCACCAATATCTGTTCCTAGACCAAATGAAGGAGCTTAGACACTAAGTAGGTGTATTAACCCTTCAACCGCTGTAGTGCAGCGCTGCACGCCTTCGTGAGTAAAGCCCATTTGGGTAAGTGCAGAACTGCTAGCTCGTCACCCGCATTCAATTTTTTGCAATTTTGGGAATAAATACAATGCAATACAGTTCAAAGTCGTTTGAATTTTATACCCAGATGAATAAACCATTCACTCATTGTGGTGAAGTCGTTCTTATGACCAAAGAACCGTTAGTACGACGATTTTAAAATCGAGCATCGGGGAGCTCGCAACAAAAAGTAATTTTTAAAACAGTTTATTAACAACATTATATTACAACATTATATTATTTTTTTGCAAAAATCTATTGTTTAGTTATTCAACTTTGAAAATGTTATCAATGAAAAGCACAAGTATTCGTATAATTTATTCAAATCACGTTTATGCCACCTAAGGTGCGAAATTGATTTTGTCTACGTTTCCTGTTAAAAATAAAAAGGTTGAAACAATTTATATAGGAAATTACTAAAAAAGAGGGTACATTGACTATCTTTAATTGAAATAAAATATTTAGCTGCATGTCGACCGAATAATTTATTAAAGTTATTGAATAAATTTCAAACCGCGTCGAGCATGAGCTGCGGCCGCGCAATCGTTCCGCAAGGGGGGGTGTTTTAGGCAGAGGCTTTTTCGCAGTTGAAGGGTTAAACAACTTAGTGTTGCTTGATATTCTACAAGGATGTCAACACATCTGTTTAAGTTTATGGGCTTCACCCTAAAAGCTAGAGATGTTTGATTTAAGCCTGATACCCAGATACCTCGCTCCAGTCTGAGATAAACCACAAAAAACATCTTAATTTTTTTATTGCTCTCTAGGTACAACTGTACTTAACAAATACCTCAAGTAGATAATCATCCAACTGTTGATCTTGGAATTTCACTTTGTTATTAGAACTCTTGGTAAACATGTTTTCTAGAAAAATGTATAATCTATGCCACTTTTATTTGGAACTAATCCAGAATTGGTCAAAATTGGTCTCAGTATCGACCCAAGTCCTTGATCTGCGTAGGGCGAGAATGTCTTTTTTTGACGTAAGATAAATTACATTTTGTGCTGGATAATGATTTTTTTTCATTTGGCGCCCAGGCGCTTAGAGCGATCTCTCCAATCCAAAGCCGGTGAAAATAATTCTAATCACAAATCGTACAAAACTAAAGGGTGAGGCTAAATAGATAACTTCTTTACGGGCACTGCCTCCTCTTCTCCACAACCACAACACGGGCTATATTATTTAAACTTATTTTGTATTGTAATTTGATTGCGAACTCCATCACAAATTCAAATTCTACGAATGAAATACAGATTACAGAGATAATGCAAATGATTGAAGCTTATGTCATTTTGGATTTTAAGCAAGTTGTTTTTTTTTTTTTTTTTTTTTTTTCGTTTGTCCTTTCGGACAGGCTAAGGTCTGGGACCATACTGCCTCGTCATTAGTTATTTTTCTTCTTTTTATTATTAAAATTCAATATAACTTCCTCAGTTTGATAATTTCCGGTATATTTTCTAGTTTTTTGTTTTACTCTATTATTATGTGCTTTTTTCCGAGCACATTGAACATCTTAAACACCAAACATTTAATTTTTTCTCTTACTAGACAGTCCAATCATGAATTAATTACATCCTATATGAATTTCATATTTATTTATTATCTTTTTTATAGTACACATTTACACAAAAAATAAATCATAGACCAATACCATGCAATACCTTAATCCTAATACAAAACTTAAGAAAAGAAAAAACAAACTTAAAACAACGACATTTGATACGTTTCAAACTTGTTTCAAACCGACGACCTAAACGAAAAAGAATACCTACAAGCAAAATTACGAAAATAAACATTTTTTTCAAACAAATAAAAGGAAAGAGAACATGCGGTACCTATTAAACTTAACTGAGCGTTTTGTGTATGCAGAACATTTAACCTTAAATTCTAATACACAACGATATTACAGAATATTTATATTTCTTCAACAGTGTTTGCAATGAAATTATACAGAGGAACGTATGTACAATTATTTACAAGAAGATCGGTCAAGGAACGCGGGACCAAATCATGTTTGCCATAAATTTGGATTAGCTCATCCAACAACACAAGGCGCTGAATGCCGAAGGATGGGCAGTCAAAGAAAATGTGAGCTAGGGTTTCTTCTTGGGAATTGCAATGAGTACATTGAGCATTATTCACCATTTGCAACCGAAAGAGATGGAAATTAAGCCGACAATGACCAAACCTTAAGCGAAAAATCGTCGTATAGAATTTTCTATTCAAAAAGCTATTTGATTTGCAGAACCATGGCAATTTGTTTACATCAGTGGTTCTCAAACTTTTTAAATGACGGAACCCTTTTGGGAAGCAAAATACTTGATGGAACCCTACAATAAAACAATTATTTTTATAAGTGTATTCTATATTAATCAGCATAATAAAAGTACAATGTATCCGTTACTAATTATTATTTACTTCACCACTTGGTAAGGACAATAATAGAAAACATTAAAAAAGAAAAAATCTAACTAGTGGGAGGTATGAAACTGTTTTTTATTTTTCATCAATTGCTTGATATCAGGTTTGATGGAAGAAAGTTGGAGTCTCATATCAGCTTCGGCGTCCAGTCTATTGCGATATTTTGTTTTCGTGGCTGCGTAGGTAGAGAATCCTGTTTCGCACAAATATGTAGTTGGGAACGGGAGAAGAATATCCAGAGCCATTTGGCCAAGCATTGCATATTCATCTTGGATTCTGCACCAAAAATCATTAAGAGGCGTCGTTTTGAACAATGACTCCATACTTGTGTCTGATGACATTTCTAAAAGAGATTCATATATCTCATTTGACATGTTTTCAGGCTTTTCCAAGTTGGGTAAAAAAGGATTATGAATCCAGGAGTTCACTTTAATTTTTGTATTGTGTTCTTCGGGAAAATACTTTTCAAAAGATGCGCGCATCGAACTGAGATATTGGACCAATTCTTCAAACACATTATCTTCAAACATTTCTGAGTCGTTTTCGCTAACAAACTCAGTGAGTAACGTAAAACTTTCTATTTCTTTCTTACCAATGCAAATGATCCAAAAATCTAATTTTCTTTTAAAAGTAGTTATTTTATTATAGGCCTGAAACACTGTTGTCTGTTTACCTTGCAATGATAAATTTAATTCGTTAAGTTTTTGAAAGATATCCGCCATAAAAGACAATCGGAACAACCAAGTTTTATCATACAAACGGTCCTTCAAATTAAAAGAAGTATCTGCTGAAAGAAACATTTGTAACTCGGCTCTAAGTTCAAATAGCCTTGTTAAAGTTTTTCCCCGAGACAGCCATCGCACTTCTGTATGGAGCAGCAGTGTTTTATGTTTGCTGCCATAATCTTCACACAATAATGAGAACAATCGGGATTGTAGTGGTCGTGATTTGATAAAATTAATTATTTTTACCGCTTCATCCATAACTAATTTTAGATTAGACGGCATTTGCTTCATCGCAAGTGCTTGTCTATGCAGAATACAATGACTGGAACTACAATTAGGCGCTTTATTTTTCATTCGTGACACTGCTCCTGCTGTTTTACCTGTCATCGCCTTGGCCCCATCTGTACAAATGTCAATGCAATTGTTCCAACTGAGATTATGTTCTTCAAAAAATATATTTATTTTATTAAAAATTTCTTCCCCGGTAGTGTTTGTAAGCAGCGATGAACACATAAGCATGTCTTCTTCAAAAGAACTTTTATATGGATATCTCACAATAACCAGCAGGATAGCCAAACCAGCGACATCAGTCGACTCGTCCATTTGCAAAGCGAATCGTGTATTTTGTAGACGTGTAACTAGTTCTTGTTTGACGTAGCTTGCCAGATCATGGATTCGTCGTGAAACAGTATCGTTTGATAGCGGAACAGTAGAAAGATGCTTTGCAGATTTTTCATCAAGCATACATTTTGTTATGTCTAATACACATGGTTTTATTAATTTCTCAGCGATAGTGTGCGCTTCACCTGCTTGTGCAATGCGATAGCTAACTAAGTATGATGCCTCCGTGGCCTTTTCGTTGGTAGTTTGTGTTACATGCATCATATTTTTTTGACTTTCTAATTACTGATCTTTTTGGCGAACAAAAAATTCTTTATTCTTGTCTTTAGTCTCGGGGTGTACGGTTTCTAAATGTCGACGCAATTTGGCAGGTGCCATGGAACTATTAGGAAGCAGTTTACTACAGAGCATGCAGAGAGGTGAGCCGTTGGAATCAACAAATCCGAAACTGATATAAGATTCATCATACTTCCTTTTTTTCGTCTTTGAAACCGTCGAGCTTGACGTCGTGGCACTCGTGGCATCATCTTCTGGATCGGTGATTGCTAAATTCTCCGCGCGCATTGCTTTTGAACATTCAGCGTCATTAGAAGATGTTGTTGGAACACGTTTAACACCTTTAAGCCAACGTTCCATTCTTCTTTATTTATAATGTTACAAGTCAGGATAGTGGGGTTTAAATAATGCACAATCGTTACTGCGTATAAGAGACTAAATTTAGAACCTACAGGGAAGAAATGTATAAAACTGAGACAACAGAATACAGCAGGCAGTAAAACAATGAACACCAGTTTCTCGCTAGCGAGCTTGTAAGTAGGTAGTAACTTATCGCTCCGAACGCTAATCATCAACTGACGACGCCAACGCGCGATCGCCGCTTTTATACTTAGTCCTAGACTCGATCTCAAATATTCTCGAAAATACTCGAGTCGGCACCTTTGATAAACAAAAAGCAAAAATAAAAACAGAAATTTAAAAATAGCGTTGTAAACAATATCGACTTTATCCTTTGAAGTTAGAGACGAAAGTCGCTAGTTGACAACTATAGCGTCTAATTCAGAGGCGGCTTTTATCAAAGAGACTGAGCGCTTACAAGTATACTACCCGCTCGTTTTAAGTTTGCCGCTGGCGATAGGTATGAGTGTATGACGTTCGAAATTTTTTATTTAATTGTAACAATAAAAATTGTGTACGTTAGATATTTGGGTAAAACTATGACACATTATAAGTTTTGTTGTCACGTGGGGGAGGGTACGCGCATTCCACAGACCGGCAAACTTAGAGCGAACGCGTTGTACTAGTATAAAATTGTTGAGACCAAACTTATGAGATATTGTACCAGCTAATGTAACACAAGCTTATACAAATACAAATAAATAAATAAATAACATTCATAGCGTTTTGTCTCCGCGCGGCCGCGGAGTCCGCACAGCCGCGGAGCGACCAGAGAGAGGTGTTTTGATTTTTTTATTTCTAAATTCTTGCGGAACCCCGACAGAGGTATCACGGAACCCTAGGGTTCCGCGGAACACACTTAGAGTATAGCTGGTTTACATCAACATAAAGAGGTGTGTACCATAGACCTTTACCTTTAACCTGTACTATACAATTCCAATGGGCTCGCCACTCTTGGTGCATTCTTTCCTTTAGCAGAACAATCAAATCTGTATAAGGTATAGACATCTTCTGAGTATTGGTTTCAGTAGCTAGAGTATTGATAGATTTTGCTAGATAATCTGCATTTTCATTACCTGTTACACCAATGTGAGACGGAACCCACATGAAACTTACAATTATATTATCAACATTGTATAGATCATACCAGACTTCTTTAATAGCATGAATAATGTAATTGGTGTTTGCACTTAATTTATTGTTTTCTAAGTTTTTGAGCACACTCATGCTATCACTAAGTATTAGCCATTTTTTATGTCCTTGATTTTGATGTTTTATGTGTTTCAGAGCAGCCAAAATTGCTAGAGCTTCTGCAGTGAATACAGAGGAATTTTTGTCTATCTTGTAACCTAAACCAGATTTTATAGAGCTAACGTAAAAAGAAAAAGATGCACTTGAATCATTTTTTGAGCCATCTGTATAAATATGTTTATGATCAACCCAATTTGATAGTTCACCAAACACCTCCTCTTTAGTAGAAAGCTCCTTGTAGATATTTATGTCAATTGATGGAAATTTGCTCTCAAAATGCCCTTCATAGCATGGTAAGATTGAAGGCTTATAAATGTTGGAATTTTCGAGAAACTGAGTGAACTGAGGAAATCCTTGCATGATATACAAAGGCCTACCTGCCAGTGATTGTGATAAATATGAAATATTTTTTAAAAGTTGATTATTGTTTATTGAGAATAGCTTCAAAA